CACGGAGCGGGTCCGGCCCCGGAGGGGAGCGCAGCGACTGCCTTGCCTTATAGACGGTCTGGAGAAAACCGCTGCCCTAGGCGTGACGTGGGCTGAGGCGGAAAATAAAGGTAAGGCTTTGAAAGCCTCTGGGCGTAGGGTTCTAAGTTTGCATCGCTTCTGTCACCGAGCAGAACGAACTCACACGTACAAACCGTGATGCCGGGTCTCGAAGCACACCTGAGGTGAATATGAAACTGTTAGGATGCGGCTCCTTTCTCTGACGGTGCTGTGCGACGCGGAGTGTGAGGCCTTGAGGGGTGGTCCGGCTTTCCTGGGTAACTAAGGTTCAGGTGTTCAAATCCAGTTTTTAAATAAAAATTGTGCATACGTCACAAACATGTTGTAGCAGTTTTAGATGCAGGACACAGTGTCAGCTGCACGCGTGCATAGATGCGTTTCTGATGCACGCGCTTGAGTGAACTGCTGTTGTCTTTGGGCAAGTTGAATGGGACAAATAGAATTTGGTGGAGCTAACCTCTGTAATAACTATTAGTCACTGTTTATTCATAAAACTTGTTGCGCATCTTCCTTTATCTTTTCACAGTGAAAACATTGCAAAAAATAGAGAGTGCTAGTTGAAAGGGCTGGAATTAACATCACTGTTTTGTATCAAACTTTTAAACCAAAGAGTGCAGAGGCTGGAGAGCGCTGTGTGGGTTTCTAGTCTTGTGAGGATGGGTTTTTTTGTGAATGTGGTGAAAACACCATGTTCCACTCACCTGATTACAATACCCAGTAAAGTTCCCATTTCTCTGCAGACTAAGCATCCTAGGCAAGCTGATTTTTTTTTTTTTTTTAATCCTGAAAAAATTAGCCAACTATTTGGACTTGTGCATGTAGCCTGTAAGTTTTGTGTCACAGGTGCATTTTGTTCTATTTATTCCTAAGGAGGTTCTAAAAATTATTTTTCCTATCTTTTCAATTATGGAGATTGAAGACTTTTACGTTGTTTCTGTTTCAGATCCACTTTTCAGATCCATTTTTAAGCCTCATGTGTAAATAAAACACATGAAGTGGTATGCCTGAGTGGCTCTTCCATACTTTCTCTTTAATTTCAAAATCTTTTTTTTATAAAAGTATTTTTCTCAGAGAAATGTCTTTTTGTTTCCTAAAAAAAGTTGCAGAGGGAAGCAGTTTAGCTACTTGGGAAGATTTCTGCTAGTACGTGTTTGTGGTAGACTTGAAAGGTTCTAGGTGTTTTCCTTTCTGATAAAAGGATGTTTTCATTTTTGTTTGTCTATCAATAACAAATATATATATAAAAAGTCCAGTTTCTGTGCAACTTTAACTTATGTAATGTAGGTTTGACTGTTCCCTGAACTCTCTGCCAAGCAGAGGAGGAGAATACTTCAAAGAATGATTCCATGAATTCTTCCAAATTGTATTTTTTTGTATGGTGAAATTCTACTTCATGTGATCCCTTTCTTTTTTCTTTTTTTTCTTTTCTTCCCCACCTCTTTGCTTTAGCACCTAAGGCACCTGTGGCCAGCAACCTTGCCCCTGCAGGCACCAGACCAACATGGATGAGGAAAGCTCAGCCTCACACTCAAAAGCAATTTGTTTTTGAAAAGCCATCAGAGGTAAAAAATTACATGGTAACTAGCACAATCTCATCTTTTATTAAACTTCAAATGGTAAAAATTATCAGACTTTGAGATTATAGTCTCATGTTTAAAAACAAATTAAAAACTGCAGCTGAGCTGAACTTTGGGCTTTTACAAAGAAGAGTTTGCAACTGCCTTGTATATATGGCAAACAGAAAGTTACGGTCCCTCTGTTTAGCCTCAGACTTTGAGTATTCATTATGTACCTGTTCATAACCACTTTTTTTCAGAGTGCCTAACTAATACGTTCTCCTAAATAATCAGAATGATGCAGTGTCCTAAGCGCTATTTGAGCTCTGCTTTTTTTGGCCTCATTTGGGATATCTGTCTCATTTGTGACAGCAGGGGAAGAGCACAAGGTTTGTTTTATAGACTTTGCTTTATGTCCTGTCAGCAAGAAGAGGATATTGTGCTCTGTGCAGTGGGAGGGGCAGTTATCTTGAACACTACTTTTTAAGCTAGAAGTGTTTGAAATGCTGTTGTCTTGGCTTGGAAGGATTGATCTGGGAAGATTCTCTTTTCTCTGAGGTAGACCCCTGGTATCTCTATAGTACTATATTTTGACCTTCTTGCTCAACTTGACACCTCCTTGCATCTCAACACTCCACTGAGCTCAGATATGAGAAGCGTAAATCCCTCAGACAACCCAAATGATAACCCAGGCTGGACTGGGATGGATTAAACTGCTGTTTGTTGTAACAAAGAACAACTATCTCAAGCTGTGCAGACAATTTTAAAGCCTCAGCCTCTGCTACATCTGGTTTGTCTTGTGTTTTGCTCGTTGTCTGGGTCCTGGGATTTTTCAACCCTCCTGTAGTTACTCTAGATTTTTATTTCCAAATGTAAGGATGAGAATTTTCTTTGTTGTAGTTGATAAATAGCAAGTATTGTAATAATCCGATAATTTAGAAATGAATGTCCTTTAGGGGGCAGTTGATTGTTAAAAACCGCCTGCAGCGGTAGCTGCATTTGAGAGTTTCTGGGGCATGGAGAGAGTAAGTGGGTTGTTACTGCTTACCACTTGTCCAGAAGTATGTTTTTCTCGCTGACATGTCAGTATGCAGCTATATAGAGTCACTAGTGATGACAATTAGTTCTGTTTGACTAGAGCATATCAGGTACTTAAATGTTTAATACTCACCACATATTGTTTTGTTACTTTTCAGGTGGAGCGCACAGTTCCTGAGGCAGGTGTGATAGAGTGAGTATACTGCTGGCTTAAACTGTCCTTCGTGAGGTTTCTGTCTTGTCAGTCAGTGGGAATCTGCTGAAAAAGATTCTACTCCTACAATTGCCATGCCTTTGGAAGAAATTTGAGTACAAAATGTGGACTTTAAGCCCTTTTATCCTGAACTGAATTTATGATCAGGAGGGTCCAAGTCTGTGTTCACTAGTTTTTATAGCTTTGGTGTAGCTGTATAAGCCAGGAAGAACAAACAGTTGGACATTCTGGATCAACAGAACTGCAAATATGCGTCCTTTAGTTAGCAATGTACATTTTCCTAGAACAACCCCTGTGTAAACTATGCTGCAAATTACTTACCATTATCCAGGAATATAGCTGGAATGCCAACTCAGGCAGTGCTTCCTTTGAAGGTTCGGAAAAGTAGCTGCTAGTAAATGTCATAGTGAAGCTAGATATTCATATGCTGTAGATTGTTTACCCTTTGTGTCAAAATGGAGATATTTTCCGAATAACCTTGGCACGAAATGTGACAAGGTGTGGTGGTGTATGGTGAATGTACAGGTTTTGAAAATTTGCTTCAGTTTGGTCACATTGGTAGAATTTTCTTACTAAGTGGTTCCTAAGAGGCAAGTTACAGAGTCACCTTTTGACTGTGTGTTGTTTTTGCTTTGAGGGATCTGGGGTTACTTTTCTGTAGCAACTTCAAATTTGAAGCTGGGTGGGGTTTTGTGCAGAGCAGGCATAATTCAGATGAGATGTTCAGCTGCCCTCCCACTGCTAGCATGGTAGTTCACTAAGTAGAACTACTTTGTGAGAGGTGTTTCTACCAAGTCATGAAAAATATTGCTGGAATTAGTTACAGAATTTCCCAGATGCACTTACAGATTGCAACAGATTTGCTTATGTTTTAACTTTCCATTTCAGTATGAATGATACAGCCATATGTTCTTTGAATATTTTTTACTTTTAGTAGTAATAGCATAATATCTAGGTATTAAGTAAATTCAGTGTGTTAAAAGTGTTCTGAAGGTTCGCTGACCTTTTGTTTGTTACACTTATTTATAAATCAAATGAAAAAATATAGAGGAAACAAAACTGAGACGCTATTCTCATCACAACAATGTGATGTAGATAATATAGTATAGTTTATGTTCTGCATGTGCAATATGGAAGAGATCAGAAGTTTCTGTTTGTTTAACTTAAACACAGCACAGTGCAAAACACAGTATGTGATCATCTCCTGAGTCGGTGAACTGTTTTGAAGGAGAAGCAATGCCGGAGAGTGATTAACTCCTGGAGTGTTCTTGGCAAAAAGACCAGTATAAAGTTTGGAGCTGGCTTAGGAGAAAATGAGGTAGTAGGTGAAGCAAGCTGTTCGTACAAGAGTAAATAATACTTTATGACCATGTAACTTGTAACAGGAAAGAACTGTTTACCCTCTGTACCAGGTACAATAGTTAAAATACTGCTCATGTACCTGTAACTTGGCTTTGCTGTGTCACACAGGTGGTCAAACACTTTGCTGTTAGCAGAATGTTGATACTGGTCATCTGACTGAAAACTGGATTTTGCATTTTCAGTTCCACTCGTGTTCTTTGTATACCTATAAATGCCAACATAATGGTCAGGGCGCAGTCTTGTATAGTGGTCTCCTTTAGATTCCCCATGACATCTCTCATTTACTTATCTCTAGAGCCTTAAAACTGTGTATTGAGCCTCTGGTGAAATGGAGAAGCAGGAAGTACATGCATTGTTTGCTTCTGCAACACCTCTTGCTGCCTTTCTCTGACCTCTGATGTCTCCAGAACATTATTGCTTCCCTTAGTACTGCAAAGCGTTTTTCTTTTCCTTTTAAACGAATACTCTCCCTGGTCTAGGTTTACAGCAATTCTAGTCCATGCTGCTCAGTGTAAGATAATTTCTTGATGTTTGTCTGATGGCTCTTTCCTTTCTTACCTCCTCAGCAAGCCTGGTGTGTATGAGCTCAGCAAAGTACCAACTGGCGTTTCTAGGTAAGTGAATTGGATGGTTTTTGAAACTTGTAATTTGCTGTTGCGGAACAACACAGTGATACTCAGCTTTCAGGAGTCTAGTCTCTGCAGAGTGTTTTGACTCTGGCAGGTGCACATTGCACTTCCTGTGTATCTTCTGTTTAGAGTACTTCTGGAAATACTTTGAGTATCAGGTAGCAGAGGCTTACACAGTTCTGAGCAGCACTGAAGAGAAGAAAAATGAACCTCTTAACATCTAATGTCTACTGCATCTAGTGTTCTTGTCCGGAATAAGGAGAAGGGGCTATGTCCATTTGTTTCATGATCCAGAGTAAGTTGCTGCTTGAAATTTGGATTGGTATCCTGTGTTAGCAAGTGCATGATGTCTGTGTTGTATAGTTAAGAGCTACCAGAAACTTGTAGCTGTAAATTTCACTTGTTTTAAATTAATCTAATAAAAGCATTTAACTTTAGGCAGATTTGGTAACTTGACGGTTGTCCCTTTTGTTTACATACTACGCCTTAATTATTTTAGCTTCAGGACACTTCATGACAAAACCTACTTGTTCTGTGGTTTCTCCTAACTGAAATATATTTTGTTTTACCTTGCTGACTTAGCTGCAATATCAGTATTAATCATTTTCTTCTGAATTCAATAGATTTTATTGATAGTGGAAAAAATACCAAGGACCTAGTAACTTTTTGTGCATTTATTTCAAAGCTTTCATCTTGGTTTTTTCTAAAGCCGCAAATAAATTTTTATACCAATTTGAAAAGTAAAAGCTTTGACCAGCTGGAACAAGAAAAGGTACACAGCCAGCCGGGTTATTCTGTCACTTTCTGGATTTTGTTTTCATAATATGTTGCTGGGATATTTCTGGAGAGTTGGTAATTGGATTTTTCATCTCTTTTAGTACCTTTACTGTATGTATTCTTATTGTGATGTCTTTGGAGCATTGAATACTTGTGGGAGTAAACTCTTGTGAACAGCATTCCTCCTCTGCAGCCCACCACAGTGGCTGGAATTTCTGAATGCTGCTGTTAGTACAGTCAAAATATAAAATGTACATATGAAAATGTAAAATGTAGGAGAGGTTAAATACTCTAGGGTTCTTGTCCTTGGAAAAGAGAGGGTAGAATGGCAGTAGTGATAAAGGGCTGTCAAATTCTGAGTGGCATGGAGATGGTGAATAAAGAGCAGTTATTTACTTATGTTGATTGTAGTACCATAATCAGGGCTATCTAATTTATCAGATGCGAAGTTAATAACAAGGAGAAGGATGCCATTTTTCACACAGTATATGGTTGATTGTGGGACTCATAGGATATTGTTGGTGTCATATGTTTTTATAGGTTTTAAAAAGCAGTTAGATGTGTTTGGTAAGGGGAAGACTCATCAGGAGCTCCTGCTGCCTTCTGCTCTTTCCTTCACCCCTGCTTTTGGCTGTGGTCAGAAATAGGATACTGGGCTTTGACTTTTGGTCTGATGGATTACAGCCATTCTTAGCTCCCTTGGGAATCCTGGAAATTAGAATATTTTATCAGAGCATATATAGAAGTGTATATTCTTTCTGTCTTTTCTTTATCTTTTTCTTCCTTAGGATTCATTTGATTCCTGGCTTTATAGACTCAGAACAAGCAGACTGGATGTTTGAACAACTCCTCCAAGACATACCCTGGGGTCAGAGAACTCACATCAGACAGGGTAAAAAGTGTGTAGGCCAACTTTTCAGGTCATTCCCAGGTCATTTCCATACCAAAATACATGCATTGTTTATAATTTTTTTTTTCATTTTGCATATTACCACCCCTTCATGTTTCCTTCCAGGGTTTCCATGCATATCTGAGGAGTACTGCTGCTTATTTTTCAGTCTCTATCACCAATTAAATATCTCTATTGCCAACTAAATGAGATCTTTCTAAATTAATATTGCCTGTCTTAAAAATATTGTGCCTCTCACTTAAAATCCCATCAGAGCATGCTTCTTTTCCCTTCTCCTTGCTTATTAGTTCCAGTATGCAGTAAGTGAAGATAGTGCTATTCTGGATTTGTTCACTAAGGGGCACCTATTCTAGCTAAATTTCTCTTTCAGTCGGGAACGGATGTAAGAAATATATTGGAGTAGTTACTGGACAGGGCTGGAAAATGTCTTCAACATCTGTGTTTATTGGCTTGCAATAAAGGTACTGTATAATGGAGAATGTTACCTGTCAAGGATGAGATATAGCTACCAAGATAGTCTTTCCAGAAGTTGAAAGTACTTTTAACTTGATGTTTGTATTGCACCACAGAGCACACACATATTTGACAAAATATTACTTGTCCAGCCTTGCTACATTCTGCTTCTGTGATGTCCCATTGACGCTGCAATACTTTCCACTTCATCCTTTCCAGTGGATACATCTCGCAACTTACGCCAGCGTATTGTGCACTGGAACTAGGAGAATATACGACAAGCCAGAATTATAAATAAAATTTCAGTTTCATTTTGTTATCTTTAACTTGTCCAGTCCCTGCCCTGTCTGGCATAGGGATGAGAAAATTGAAGTGGTTCCAAGCTTTTGGCAAGGTAATTCTTCTTGCAGAGACAGGCCTGCTTGTGAATAATCTTGTTCCTTCACTTGAGTTCATTATGTAAGGCTGAGGATTTAAGGCACTGCTTTTTAACTTCAGGTGAGAGGGCAGTCCCTTTTTGATCAAGTTTCTTAGCAGAATTGCATCTTTCTTTCCATTTTCTAGCCCCTTGATAAGGCAATTGAGAAAGTATTCTTGTTTTTCTTTTTTTAGAAGTATCTTTTGAGGAACCAAGGCTTACCTCTTGGTATGGGGAACTTCCTTACACGTACTCCAGGATAACAATGCAGCCAAACCCAAATGTATGTATATGTTTGTAGTTTTATTATCATCTACAGAGAAATCCTTTGCTGAGATGGAGAGACAGAATTGCCCTCTACCCTCTATTTTTATCTAGACTATCTGTCAGCATTTCATTTGTAATTGTTGTGGTTTAACCCCAGCCAGCAACTAAGTCCCACGCAGCCGTGCTCTCACTCCCCCCAGTGGGATGGGGGAGAGAATCAGAAGGGTAAAAGTGAAAGACTTGTGGGTTGAGATAAAGACAGTTTAATAGGAAAAGCAAAAGCTGCGCATGCAAGCAAAGCAAAACAAGGAATTCATTCACCACTTCCCATGAGCAGGCAGGTGTTCGGTCATATCCAGGACAGCAGGGCTCCATCACACATAACAGCAGCAGGCTGGAAGACAGAGTAAACATGAACAGAATGTCGACGAGTCAGGAGTGACTCCCCCCTTCCTCCTCCTTCCCCCAGCTTTATATGCTGAGCATGATGTCATGTGGTATGGAATATCCCTTTGGTCAGTTGGGGTCAGCTGTCCCGGCTGTGTCCCCTCCCAACTTCTTGTGCACCCCCAGCCTACTTGCTGGTGGGGTGGTGTGAGAAGCAGAAAAGGCCTTGGCTCTGTGTAAGCGCTGCTCAGCAGTGACAAAAACATCCCTGTGTTACCAACACTGTTTCCAGCACAAATCCAAAACACAGCCCTGTATTAGCCACTATGAAGAAAATTAACTCTATCCCAGCCAAAACCAGCACAGTTATCAGCAGCAGATTCTAGTGGAATGTGGACAGCTTCATTAAACAGTCAGTCCACTCATAATGCTTTAGAGGAGCACAATATGGTTGCTAAACATTGGCAAAAGGACATTATCACTCCAGAGTTTAAAGTTGTGCTTTTGGGTCACTGTAGCTTTGCACAAAATTCTGAATTGTTCTGTGAGGCTCATTCTATGCATCTTTATATAGGAGATTGTAGTGTACATAGTCACACTTGAGTTTTTTGTTGTAAAGATACAGTAATGTCAATTACTGAAACTTACTTTCAGAAACACTTAGATTCGATACTGCTTAAATGAGAATTTAGGAATATTTTTGATTACTCTGTGAATGCTATGAAATTCACATACACAACCTGCCTACTCAGCAACTCCAGATTGTATGATGTAATTTCCCGTGCTATTTTGGAAGGGTTAAAAACCTTCTGAGTGATTTGTTGATGTTTTGTTCATGTTTACTCTGTCTTCCAGCCTGTTGCCCCATTGGCCTGTCTCTTGGTACTGCTTTGTTTGAAATTTCCATGGCAGTAGGCTGCAGTGCTCTGAACCATAAATTAAGTGTGGTTGTTGAAGGCTGGATAGCGTGAGAGCAAAGCATCCCAAGTCCCAGAACTGCTGGCAAAGCTCAGCAAAGCTAGCAAGCCTAGCAAAGCTCAGTTTGGGAAAAGTGGAAAGGTGTTATTTAACAAGATGAGTTGTGAAGATTTCGTAGTGTCAAAAATACCATAGTTCAAAAATTCCATAACCTGTGGAATTTGTGGTGGAAAAATAGGTCTTTTTTTGTACTCATTTGTGGAATATTACTTTAAATGGACTTTTCTGGAAGCTGAATGGCTTTAGGGATTGGAAGTGCCCCCACAAAATCATTCTGCTTTACACTACTGATTTAAATCCAGTTCAGAATTGCCTGTTGTGGAAGCTGTTGCTGCTCAGAGGATGGATAGAGCCTATATACCCTGAATTCACAGTTTCAGTTCTATTTGCGTAAAGTTCAGAGTTAGCATTCATTGGACCACTGACTTGTTTTTCTCATCCAAGAGGTACAAGGCCTAAATCAGTCACGCATGCTGATCCTGTCTTTTATTCCTGAAAGAAAAACTGAGAGAAAGAAGTCCCAGCAGAAAGTGAGATGCACTGGCAAACTTGCATAGCTGGAAGCCAGCCCTGCTGCTGCCTGGAAACTGCCCATAGGGCAGATACATGGGTAGACTGCACGTGGACGCTGATGCCTCACTCAGCTTTGTAGTTGGGAGTTCTGCAGCCTAGGAGCAGCAGCGGATGGTGTAAAGAGCACAAACCTTGCCTGTAGAATAGGGTTTATATCACAAAAATATCCTGAGGAAAATGTAATTTAGTGCACAGCTTGGGAAAAACCAATTACCTGCCTTGAACGCTTGATCTGCAGGAGTAATTAGCTTTGTGCCCCTCCTTTTTTGATTGGTAAGACTGGTGGGATTGCAGCGCTGCTGGGTATAATCCAGTGCTCATGCCTAAATGAATTTTGGTATTGGAAAAATGTTTCTTTGTAAGCAGTGATGTAGTTGGTGATGCAGTAATGTTTCAACAAAATTACTTCCGCTGCTGCAAGTTTGTATTGGCGTTTCCACTGAATTGTAAAATTTACCATATGGTAACATTTTTGGTAATAAATACTTTTGTGATAGGAATTGAAGGAATCCAGTCCTAGTTGGTCACTGGAAAGTGCTTTCAGTAATTCTTGGGCTCTTCTGTCATTTTATTCCATGTCCCGCACATACTGCACAGTCAGGCAGCCCAATTACAAGCTGTAGCTTTTCTTAGGTGGTATTGCTCATTTCCCTACATGTCCCATAGCTTGCAAGCTATGTTTATGTATAGTTAATTATTCACATGATGCTTAGTCACTGAAGGGGTGACTTAGCTAGAAATACCCCTAATAGAGAAAGATGGTATGTTGAGGCTCCTGCAGTGTAGGCAATAGGTTAAAAACCCTTTAGACACGGATAAGCATGGAAAGAAGGTGGTGTGGACTCGATTATTAGAGGTGGATACTAGGAAGTAATTCCTGC